TCACGCTGTGATCAGCAGCAGCTGGATGCAATAATCGCATGCCAATGTGCATTGGCTCGATTAGTTTACACTCGAAGTAGATTGGTCTCTCTAAGCGAGATCCCAGTTCGTCAGTCACTGACGTGACGTCTCCGTTTCCTCCTTCAGGGAACGAGGGTTACATACATAACCTAGATGATCTTCGTGCTTTTTGGCCGCATTTAGCAGATCTGGACAATAATGTAGTTACATTTTGCGACAGTATAAACAATCAAGCACCTGAGATTTGCTATACAGTGTTGATTCAAGTGAGTGCAATGCAGGGATCCTCAAATCTGGCCCACGAGATCCGTTTTCCTGCAGAGTTTAGCTCTAACCCTAATCAAACACACATGAGCAAGCTAATCAATGTCTTCAGGATCATTAGAAAATCACAGGTAGGTGAGTTTGATCAGGGTTGGAGCTAAACTCTGCAGCGCATTGGCCCTCCAGGGCAAGATTTGAGGAATCCTGTCATAGATGCTTTTTGTGATGTCTTACTGTGGTAGAAACTACATTTCCAATTGTTTTCTGCAGCAAGGAGGTCTTTTATCCAGCAAAAGGCACCAAACCTTGCCAAAGGCCCTCCTCTGAGCCAGGCAGGCCCTTTCCCAGCAGCCCAGGCGAGAGTGTTCCCTGCTCCTCTGCCGAGAGGCTCTGAAATAAAACCACCACCTTCACCCAAGCCCGAAACCACCCAAGTTCCATTGCCCACGTTGCCTGAAGGAGGACCACAAAAGAAACCACAAGGCAGAAGACCTAAAGTTCCTCCTCCACAACCGCCCCGAGCACTGAACAAGCAGCTCTCCTCTCCAGCACAATGAGTTCTGGAAAGGAAAGTCGACTGGGAAAAAGCACTGGTTTGTTATGACCTTCTTTCTCAAGTGCAGCATCTTCTGGTTAAGCGCTTTTAACTGCAGTGTTTTAACACACTAGTGTTCAAAAGTTTGAAGTCTGTAAGATTTAAAAAAAATGTTTTTTAAAGAAGTCTCTTATGCTCATCAAGACTGTGTTTATTTGAACAAAATCCAGTAAAAACAGTAATATTATAAATAGTAGGGATGCACCGATACCGATACTGGTATCGGTATCGGGCCCGATACTGGCCTCCTGTACTCGTACTCGTACTCGTTAAAATGCCCCGATACCAAACGCCGATACCACACAGCATGTGATAAGCGCCATCCTGATTATACAAATTTCAAAAAGATTAAATAAAAAAAAAAAAAAAAAAAAAATCCCAAACCTTTGAACAAAAGTGTATGTCTGCTTTAGAGATACTGAACCGTTAAGAACTGTCAAACACAAATACAACATAGTATAATCTGACTTCCTTTTGGTTTTAGTTTAGGGCGTACTGACACGCTTCACATAGCTATTTATATATAAGCTTATTCTGAAGCATGACATTTGAAACGACCATTACGATAAAATCCTGCTCACACTTGTTAAAGCATTTTAAGGCTGATGTTGTTCATAGCTTCTTTTAATGAAATCTTTATTGCTGTCATTCATAGGTAACATACATTGCTATTTTGTACATTTCTTGTGCAAAGCCGCACATACGTACAGTATGTACATATTATATTGTGATTAAGGGAATGGAGAGGTCAACTCCTTTGTCATAACAAAAAAACTTAAATTCAAACTAAATTCATATGAATATTTAATCATAATTTCACAATACATTGATAAAAGCTGGTGGACATCATATAATATTACTGTATACTGTGTTGATCTTAAGATATTTATCATGTAATAAAGGAAAGAAAAATGACAGTATGGTTGTTGTTTTTTTCTGAGTTGTTTGTACTAATGTGAAAACATAAAGCACATCACGGTTTTGTGCATCACAGTGACCATAGGCCTTTGTCTTGTTTCTCAGGAAATAATTAAACTGCAACACAATGTTCACAATGGGAATATGAGCTATTAAAACTACATGAATGCAAAATGTAAAGTGTTTTGTGTAGTAGATACAAGATAGCTAGCAGGTATATGTCTGTATTCTACATGGTATCACTCTACATTACATATGACAGAGGTTTACTTGAAATCTAAATATTGTAAACGAAAATATTGCATATTTTAATGGCATATTACCATTGTATAGCTAGCTGTGTTTATTGTGCATTACAGAGCAACCGTGGCAGGTTTTATTTCCCTGGATCAAAGCTAATGTTTTAGGGATGAGACGGTAGGAACAAACATAGAAGAAAATTCAAGATGCCAATACTAGATTATGCTCTTGTCCAATATTTGCAAAATGTAGATCCACTCATATGGCAGGTAATTCTTGCAAAATGTAGAAATATTTTAAAGGAATAGTTCATCCAAAAATAATAATTGGGTCATCACTCTCATGTGATTATAAACTTTTATGACCTTCTTTCGTGGAAGTAAAATTTTAGGCCAACATAATTGGTGCTCTTTTTCATATTATGAATCTGAATAAGAACTTGGGCTGTAAACTGCAAACTCCAAAATGACAAAAAAGAAAGTTTAACAAAAGTAATCCCATTGACTTGTGGGTTGTGTGTAGTCTTCTGGAGTCATACAATAGCTTTCTGTGAGGAACAGACCAGATTTCATTATTGTTGCATTTACAATGTATTATTTAATTATTCTTCAATGGACACTCCACCCATTAAGAAAAATCCTGATATCATTTAGTCACACTCATGTCATTCTAAACCTTCCTAGCAGAACTAAGGTATTTTGAAGAACATTGGAAGCCAAACAACATTGAACTCCGCTGACTTTCATTGTATGTTGTACTTTTAGCATGACAAAAACAATTGAAACATTCTTCAGAATATCTTCTTTTGTTCTACAGAAGAAAGATTGTCATGAGGGTGAATGAATGATGACAGAATTTTCATTTTTGGGTGGAATATCCCTTTAAATGATTAATTATTTTTGTTATTCATTGACATCTGTCCTAGTTGTCTGTGGCATGTTCACGGGAGAAGTAGCAATGTCATATTCCTGAAAAAATTGTCTTTATCTTTTTAGTGTTATCTTTATCTTTTCAATGTTTATGCAGTACAGAAAATCAGTCTGGATGATTCGTTCAAAATTTGAACCAGAACTGATTTGGTGCTCGAGTGACTCAGTAATTCAGTTCACAGCCCAGAGGAACAGAATATCATAAGTCAATAATAACTTTTGGGAATTTTGGTCTGTTCCTCACTGTACACTAACATGGTTTCAGAAAACTATGGACTACATTTATGATACTTTCATGGTGCTTTTTTATGATTATGGAGCTTGATAGGCCCAACCCTCATTCAATTACATTATAATGAAAAAAGTGGCATTCTGTGCAACTCCTTTCATTATATCGCAAAGGAAAGAATCAGGTTTGGAACATCATGAGGCTGCGGAAATTATGAAAGAACATTCGTTTTTGGCTGAACTATCCATTTAAAGGTGATGTACGATTTGGTGTTAGACTTTGATTTCTTCTTCTTCATCAGGATAGCTGTATGGTCCTCTCCTATGAGAGTTGTTGGTGTTTGTATTCCTGAGTCCTCCACTCCCATAATGACGTGCCAGCACATCAGCAGCCCTCTGGAAACTCTCCGGCTCCATGCCATGATCCTCAATGGAGAAGGAGCGCATTCGATCCCCCAACATGGATTTTTTGGGTGACTCACCATTTACAAAGTCTGAACGCTTCCACTCTCCTCCATACAACCGTGTCCTACCGTCATCGTCTTCTCTCAGGAGAGAGTCCACCAAGGACGTGGTTGCGTCCGAGTCCACCTCAGAGTTATCATCGGTGGACTGTGCTTTTTCACTGATGGGATCGGTCGTTTCACACACAGGGCTGTCAATCATGGCAAAGACTTCAGACATGAGGGAAGGGCCCAGATCAAGAGTGAAGGAGTTCATGGAGTCAGAAGGACTGATGGAGTCTGAACATGGGAAGGACGGGATACCCGTGTCTGTGAGCGAGCCTCTGTGGATTTCAGGCGGGCAGGCAGAGGGAGAACTGCCCTGGGCTGGACGCTCAGTGCGGGACAGTCTCGGCAAGGTTACAAAGCCAGACTCCAAACCTGCAAAACAAAGAAAGAAGAACGAAATTGTTCTTGCTTGTGAGTTGGACCAACAGAGGGCAGTGAGAACCAGTACATTGCATTTAGCACTTCCTGGACTGCAGCATGAGCAGCAAATAATTTCTGCCATGTGGTTGGATGCCCTTAAAGGGATAGTTCACAAATTTTGTCATCATTTACTCACCTTTATGTCTTGGTGTTTTTGTCCATATAACAAAAGTCAATGGGGTCCAATTTTGGATCCCACTGACTTTCACTATATGGACGAAAACAGCTGGAACTATCTTCAGAATATCTTCTTTTGTGTTACACCGAAGAAAGAAAGTCATACAGGTTTGGAACAACACAAAGAACGTGAGTAAATGATGACAGAATTTTCATTTTAGGTGAATTGTCCTTTTAAGATTTGTGATTCTGACCACAGAGCTCTGTAACAGTGCACACTTGGCACAGAAAGGGCAGCGATTACAAATTACAGGAAAATTGTGGATACAGAAACTCTTCACATGATTGAAAACAGGGCTCTAAGATGGGATGTGTGCTCAGCACTGAAACATCTCATTCATAGCTCCCGGTCAGAACAACATTATAGCCTTCAGTCTTCAGTGAGTCATTCAGTCAGCTGAATTAAACACTTAGGTTTGCTTACTAAAACTTTCCATATATTGATAACGAAACTAATCAGACTGTTTGGGTTTGCGTTTGGTGTGTGTTTTTTTGTTTTTTTTTGAGTATGCAGGGGGTTTGTTTTTGAATAGGCTCTACTGTAGAGCAGCCATTGAGGCATGTTTGAGGTATTTGAATGGGTGAGGCAGACGCTGATCACTGAACTGTAATGTCTGGCTCTAAGGAGTCTGGTATTGCCACAGGTGTTTAGATGGCTTATCAAACAATTTCTGTTTGATCTTCCTCATGATTCCATGAAGGACAGAAAACTTGCAAACAAACATATTTAATTTAGACAAAACAAGCATGAGACACAGTTGCAACTTACACTACAGCTAAATAAATTTTTTTTTTGAAAGAAGTCTCTTATGCTCAACAAGCTTGACCAAAAATACAATAAAACAGTACAATTATGAAATATATTATAATTTATAAATAACTAATTTCTATTTTAAAATATTCTTTATTTTGTGATGACAAAGCTGAATTTTCAGCAGCAATTACTCCAGTCTTCAGTGTCACATGATTGTTCCTGAAATCATTCTAATATGCTAATTTGGTGCTCAAGTAAAATTTTATTAAAACACTTATCAATTAATATTTATACTGGTATACTGATTTATTTATCTTGGTTTTTTTTTTTGTGGAAACTGCTATTAATACTTTTTTCAGCATATGAATAGAATATCTTTTGTAACATCATAAATGTCTTTAACAGTAACTTATTTTGCTTTTACATTGATAATTGATTTTTATATTTTACATTTTTACATTGACAGTTGAGTAACGACAGGAAGCAAAGTGGGAGAAAGAGAGAGGGAGCGGGATCAGGAAAGGTCCATGAGCCGGGACTCGAACTCGGGACGCCTGTCCCAATTAGCGCAGATAGTCACGTTTGATCAATTTAATGTGTCCTTGCTGAACAATTTCTTATATTGGTTAATCCTGTTCGGTACACATACATTTTAGTAATATTTTGTTTTATTTTTTCTTTTAAAAAATAGAATTTGCTTACAAAAACTGCACATTCACAACTTTATTTACATTAAAGTAGTGTGTACAGAACTGAACTGAATTAATTAGTTAATGCAGTGACGCAAGTATTCTTTCAGATGCTGTTCTTTCGTCAAGATGTTGTGCTACAAAAAAAATTGCACAAAATGATGTTCATCATGGAAACATTCATGATTTTTCCAAGCTTTATAAGGATTTCATTCATTGTCATGACTTTTCAAAGCCTATATCTCACACTGACTGTAGTATCTTCCATCAGCCCTGCCTTCTGGAGTGACTTCTGTACACACACAGAATGCCCATAACTTCACTTCTACATTTGAATCTGAATCTGACAAAGGTGAACACTAACGGACTCACCATACAAGTATGTGGAGTTCTCTGGTGTTTTGGGTGGACTAGGGAAAAGCACTTTCACAGGACAGCCGTTGGGTGAGTCCACGTCCAGCCGGGGGAGGGAAATGGCATTCTTAATGATTGGAGAAATGGGTGGAGGTGGAGGCGAAAGGTCCTTGGAGCTACCGCGGGGCCTGTCGGGGGTCTTGCGGACATGGCGAAGCGTGCGGGAGAAGAATCCCTCATTCTTCTCTGAAGTGGAGGAGGAGTCTCCATCTGCGTTATTTCCTGCACCACCATGGTTGCTGAGGAACGAGGTGTCCCCAAACACATCCCCTCCACGGCCCACGTGCATGGTGTGGCGGAAGTCACCTAGTGGGGGGCTGATCATGTCCGGGGTGAGGTCACCTTTAAATCGACGCTTTCCTGAGGAGTGGGAAACCAGGCCCTTCAGGCCAGCGAGCTTGCCCAAGTTCATGGCTTCTCTGGGTACAAACTGTAAATTTCCAGAGTCAGAAAGAAAATATCCACAAAAATTGTTTTTTAAAAAATGGTGAGAACACCGTAAGAAAGCAAACTATACACGTATCACCCTTCAAGCTTTAAAATATCTCGGCAGAATAACAACCGCAGTTGAGTGGAAAGTTTCTTTTGCACGGTTTCTCAAAAGGCAGGCGCATTCAGCTATGTCCCATTTTGGCCATCGGTCTTTGTTCATATCCAGAAAGATTCTGTGAAGATAAATGTGAGCTGAAAATATGCATGACTCCAATTCCTGAAAACCTCTGCTGCTTATGTGGTCAAAGATTCTGGGCTTCCCAGTTGTTCTGGGTTTGTGCTTCTGAAAAAAAAAAAATCAGTTCAGAAATAAATTCAGCTCGGGCTGCAGATATCTTTGTGGTTTAGGACTGAAACCATGTGCTCCTTCTTTAGTAAGGTCCAGAGAGACTGCTGCTACATGCTCTGGAAGATGCAAATATTAACAAAATATCTGTAAACAATTCAGTTGCTAAAACGAAAGGGAGACATAGGCACAGACATGCTACACTAATGATCAACTTTTGCTGTAAAAATGTATATATATTTTTAAAATGGCATGTTCTGTAAAACTGAGCAAATTTGATTCATACATTTTTAATGAGTCTTGTATTGAATTACTGAGTGTAGTTCCCTTTAAATGCCTAAATTCAGCTTTGACTCCTCAGTCATTCACTTGCACTGTATGGTATTTCGGTCATTCACTTTAAGGGTATCCTGTTACCAAAGTATGTGCATTTACCAGAGAACTTTTCCACTGTCAGACTGTAAATGCAAAGAAGCGCTAAGGCTACATTTTACAATGACAGTAAGTTTGAAAAAAGTAGCCCTATTTTTTATTAAAATAAGTTTTCTTAATAATTTTTCAATTCTTTTTTTCCATATCAAAAACATTAAATGAATAGAAAAAAATATTTGGTAAACTATTAGTAACGAACAGTTAAGCTAATAAAAATTAGCATAACAACACTTAGTCTGACTTTATTAGTAGTTTGTTTGATCTTGGGTCAGCTCAGACTTTTAATTTGTGCTTGACTGTAGTTAAAGTCATGAGAATCATTTTAAAAGGAGTGACGTCTCATGTCTCATTCCATCAAACCACAACACACTTTGCCACAACACACTTGTTGCCCATTTCATGCTAAATTACCAGTAAAGACTTACCATGTGTGATAAGCACAATTTATTTAGCCAAACCCTTTACCTGATTACTGTCAGGTCATAAATCATATACATTCTGCTCTTTGGACCTAGGAAAAAACACTAAAATGTTTAATAGTACACTGCTGAAAATGTACAGAAGCCACATACCTTAATCAGATTTGTGTAATCAATGTGATCGCATGCTTTCCAAATCCAAGTTCATTCAGTGACCCTTGACCTGCACCCTGCTGAAGTGTATAAGGCGGCAGGAAGGCTTGTTGCTTTATCCCTGCATGTATCTTCTCATGCTCCTCCACTCCCACCGGCCTCTGCTCCTGATCCTTTGTTTTTAAAGATACTGAAATCCAGCGGCCCACTCGCCAGGAATCTCCCGGGGGAGATAAAGGGTCTTTAAAAGGCAATAAATTAAATGTAATAATCTGGGCAATAGTACAGCTTGACGGAGGCTCCTTAAGGATTGGTCATGTCCAGGATAAGCCCCTAATCCCTCTTCTCTTCCTTCCCCCCGAATCCCCCTCTGCTGGTTTATTCCACTCAAGTGTCCCAGTTTGAAGGGGTTCCTGTAAAATCAACAAAGGTCCTGTATGAGAGAGTGAAACAGGTGGATGTGTAACACAGATCACGATCAAAGCAGACCAAAAGTCTAAGACCACTAGTGAAAATATGTTTCTAATTGAATACATATTTGCAGTACAAATTATATTATCAACATAACAATTTGTCTTAAGTTAGAATTATTTGAAGTAAAAAAGTATATGAATTTCAGGTTTGTCCTCCTTTTGCTTAGTATTTCTGAGCTTTTGTACAGAGAAGTTCACATGATCAGTAACACAATTTTTTAGTGACCTAGAAATAGTGTATCTTATATTTATTATTTATTGTCTATTTTTATGTTATTATTTATATGTCTTTGTTTTACATAATATATAATATTAAATAATATAATAACACTGCCAGTCAAAAGTTTGGAATAATTAAGATGTTTTAATGTTTTTGAAAGTAGTCTCTTATGCTCACCAAGGCTGCATTTATTTGATTAAAATAAAGTAAAAACAGTAAGCAGTAGAGTAAGCATAAGAGATTTCCTTCAAAAACATTAAAAAACCCATAAAAACTAAAACTATTAGTAGTTACTAAATTACAAAATTATTAGACTGGTAGTGTATATAATATTACATAACATTGTTATAACATTTTCAAAGTATTAATATTTAGTATATTTAGTAAGTATTGGTGAAACATAGAATCACATGTGTCCATATAAAGATCTATTGTCCAAAGTGTATTTTAGGAACATTGTCCTCAAGCATAACTATTTTTCCCAACATTTTCTGAGAAATGGGTATGGTTGGTGGCATATGTCGTGTAATGTGCTAAACATAACATAACCAACTAATACACTGACATTTAGCAGGGCTGCTGCTGCCTCATGACATGACAAACAGCAATAAACCAAAACACACTGTCTCATAATTCTTGCAGCAGTTTTTAGTGGATGCAAACAATGCAATTATGTCTGTGCATTGTTTGAGAGGAGATGCGCACGTCAACTCGTAAACCGCAGTCTAATAGATCCCGTGTGTGTGAATGCATTCCTGGGGGAAACATCTCTGTCTATTACAGACATCCAGTACAGTGCCCACATCCCAGATTGGAAACATGTTTAGCGTTTTTCTCTTCTTTCCCTCTGCGGGACTGTCGGCTTTCCTTCATGTGGGCAGAAAAGTTGATCTGTCTGATCTTAATAGCACTTGGTCTTTGCAGCCGTCCAATGCACATTCATATGATGTCATTAAAATAAGTGATTTGAACATCAGTCACACTGAATGAACATTTGTTCTTTTAAACTGAAAAATGGTTCAAAAGGTGTTTCTTAAAATATTTCTCTCATTCCACTGAAACTACATCTTGATCAGCTAGGCTACACTACTGTATAACTGAACTAACTAGGTGAACAAACATTCAAGATAAGGCCTCATTTTTCCTTTTCACCCAATGACCTCCACTTTTATCTCTCATCTCATGCGGTCTAAAGAAAAAAGGGGCTGCCAAGGCGTAAATCATGATTACAAATATACTCATTTCATCATCTGAACATATCCTATTTTTACTCAAAGCACTCAGCATGACCGTCTGGCAGAGTGAGTCCTTTATGGAAAATACCACCAATGCAAACACAATCTCAGTGGTTTTGTGTGAAAATATACAGCAGCTGGCTCTGTCTGCTTTACTCTTGTCTTTACTCCCTTTATTATCTTATTTAGACTTTGTTTGTTTTTTTATCTTTGATTCGTAATCTAATTGTTATCTACCGAACAACTACCTAGTCTAAACTAATCTAAAAAAGCACAGTAGCACAATGAATACTAGTTAACAGGCCTCCAATACCCTGTAATGCAAAGTACATTTACATTTTCAGTTAAAAAAATGACATTGACAAATCAGAGTAACTAAATAGGACAAGGACAGATCAATGTTGCTGAACTAAAATGTTACTGTAGCAGTTTTCACTACAGTCCATTGATCTAGTCATTTGTGAACTTTGGATTTCATTGCTTCATAGAAATGTCATCCTAGTTTATTCACTTTTTAAAGGTACGCTACATTTAACATAGGCTATAAAAGTAGATTTGCAAGAAAGTGCATGTTTTCCTGATCAGTTACCAAAGCCAAATCTTGATAAAGCTCATTAACTAGTATGTAAACCTTACATTCCAACATCTCGTTCAATTAATTTATCATAAAGAATAAAATGAATCAAAATCCGCCGCTCATAACGGGCATGAACTGTGAGTATGCAGGGGAGACCGCATACTAATTTTACAGCAGCACAGATTAGGTTTCCTCCGTCATGCACACAATAACACACGACTAGTCTCTACAGGGTAGCCTAGGCTACTTGCTGACTAAAGTAACATTAGTTACGCTGTTAATAGTACGCACTAAACAGAACGCGAATTTAGCATACTTAATATGGTATGATCTTAAATAAGTCGACACACACAGTTCAAAATGTTGAGACAAAAAAATAATCTGTCGTTAAAGTGACAATTGAGAAAACCAGTAGCCTACCACTCACCTCGTGGGTTGATGAATACAAGTTTATCATGCCCCAAAAAGCGTTGAATGAGATTTATCTCCACATATGGTAAGATCCTGCAGTCCACCGTAAAACCTTTCTCTTTTGTACAGTATTCAGTTTGAGAGGCAGCGGTCAGTGTGAAGCTCCGTGTCAGTGGCAGCGCGTTTGGTCAGGGGAGAATCGGGGGGCGGGCATTTCCAACTCAAGCTCTATGTTCCCAGTGTGTTCAGTGCCACGAGTCTGTATATCTCTCGAGTAGTTTTCAGTTTTCCGACATTTAAACTTTCTTATCGCGTGTTAAGTGTTGAAATGTTACATATCTGACGTTTAAAGCTGTTTATTTAGGCCTATTTATGTATTTTTTGAATAGCACTTTGGGGCCATGCCATCCCTAGTAAAACAGTTATATCTTTCAAATACAGTTGGTTCATACTAAGTATAGGCTATAGTTAAAATATATTAACATATTGCCTGACATATCACTTGAGACTTAGGCTACTGATATAAAATTATAGGCTAATTAAACTTTATTTGGAGTAGCCTATAGACTACTTGTGCACAATGCACATTTCTTAATATTAAGGCATTTCCAACTCAAGCTCTATGTTCCCAGTGTGTTCAGTGCCACGAGTCTGTATATCTCTCGAGTAGTTTTCAGTTTTCCGACATTTAAACTTTCTTATCGCGTGTTAAGTGTTGAAATGTTACATATCTGACGTTTAAAGCTGTTTATTTAGGCCTATTTATGTATTTTTTGAATAGCACTTTGGGGCCATGCCATCCCTAGTAAAACAGTTATATCTTTCAAATACAGTTGGTTCATACTAAGTATAGGCTATAGTTAAAATATATTAACATATTGCCTGACATATCACTTGAGACTTAGGCTACTGATATAAAATTATAGGCTAATTAAACTTTATTTGGAGTAGCCTATAGACTACTTGTGCACAATGCACATTTCTTAATATTAAGCCTAAAATGTGTTTTAATATCACTATTGATGAGGATTGTATGATCGTTGAATAATATATGCAAGATATTTAAAGTATTTTTCACTATAGGGATTATTAATGTTGTGCACCTATTTAAGACTCCAAACATATTAGTCTTCCAGAAAAAGCTTTTTATTTTACATTAAACAGGTTAACCCCTCATGGGTGCAGCCATGTTGAAATCACATGACCAGCCCTGTCAAATGTCTATGATATTGATTTTCAAACATATAATACATTATAGTCATAATCAGCGTTGGGCTAGTTACTCAAAAAATGTAATCTATTACTCACAGTGTTGGGGGAAGTTACTTTTAAAAGTAATGCATTACAATATTGCGTTACTCCCTAAAAAAGTTACTAATTGCGTTACTTAGCTACTTTTTATGGAAAGTATTGCGTTACGTTACTTTTGCGTTACTTTTTCTCATCTGGGCTGGACTTGCTAATTTGATGAATTAATGCATATTCATATTTATTTTAGAACTACAGTAACATCTTCTGATTTCTCTCAACATGGGGACAGGAGAGCTGTCAGTCAATGAATGGGAAAACAAAGTAACTGGAGTTACTTATTTGAAAAAGTAACTCAGATATTTTATTGTAAATTAAAAAGTAATGCGTTACTTTACTAGTTACATGAAAAAAGTAATCTGATTACGTAACTCGTGTTACTTGTAATACGTTACCCCCAACACTGATTACTCATTATTGGTTACTTCTTTGAAAAGTAATATTATTACATTACTCCCGGCCAACAGTAACTTGTTACACTACTAGTTACATTACTTTTCCATTACACCCCAAAAACCTGGTAATTGCATACACTCTAAAAAATGCTGGGTTAAATATAACCCAGCGCTGGGTTAAAAAGGGACAAACCCAGCTATTGGGTTGTTTTGACCCAGCGGTTGACTCAAAACAACCCAACCGCTGGGTCAAAA